GTGAAACCCCCCTTCCTATTCATGTAATAATTTCGAAGATTGAAATCCTATTCTACAGCAATTTTCAGTCAACGAGCAGAATATATAGCCTGCGAAATATTTTGACAGCGAATAGCTACTTTAAAATGTTAATTACTCAAAATCAGGGGCGGATCTTTTTTTGAGGGGGGGGGGGGGGCGGATTTTCAAAAAATTTTCGAAAATTTTGACCTTTTTTTTTTTTAGTTCGACCAAATTGATTTTCCGAGCTCTTCTAAAGCACTATAAAGTCCCTGTTTTTGCCAAGTTTTCTGCGCCGCAGGCAAATTTTTGAAAAAAAAAACAGGTCAAAAAAGCCGTTTTTAGGCACTTTTTGAAAAATTTTGACAAAAAAATCGCGTTTTTTTTGGCGCGCGCTCCCCCTCAAAGTTAGTATATATTGCCGCCGAAGGCGCCTTTAGAAAAGATTTAGGGTCGGTCGGCAAAAAATGGATTTCTTAAAAAGTACCAAAGGGGGGACCCTTTGGGTCGGCAGGGGGTCGAATCCCTGAGGGGGGGAGGCGTCCGCCCCCCCCCTCCCCCCGCCCCTTCCCCCCTAAATCCGCCCCTGCTCAAATATTACTCTTATATATTTTTCGGTTGATTTTCTCTATTTTGCTCTCAAACTTAATTTTTTAATTTATGAAATTCCATATTTCATCTCCTCTAAAATGATTTGGGACGGAAATTGTACGGTAGGTTCTTCGAATTATTTGAAGGGAACACGAGCATTTCTTTCTTGGAAAGCCGGAACAAAAACACTGCTTCATCTTTGATGACGTTTGTAAAAATCAAGCCTGGATTTAAAGAGCAGAAACAAAGAAAAGGAAGCGTCTTTCCAAGTATAACTCCTTTGCTATGTTTTTTTTCTGGAATCACTACTGAATGCACACTCTAATATGGTATATCGCTCATTCTTTTGTTTATTTGAGTTTCCGTGAAAAACACACCTATTGCTCTCAGTTGCTTCCGACTTTCAGCTGCTGTAACTATAATTCCTTCTTAACAAACTGAACAAATTTCAGCGCACTAAATCGGAACAAAGTCTGACAACGTGAGTCGGATTAGTTCTTAACTACTTTTACCGTCTTCCTAGTTAACCTTCTTAGATGTAATTAATTACCTTTTCGGCAAAATAGATGTTTGCAATGAAAAAGTCTGTCCTTAAAAAACGGATGCTATCTAGTTTTAAACTATCTTTTTTTCTCTCTCTTTTGAACGGCTCGGAAAATAAAAATTTGAACTAAATTGTCTCTACTTATAAAGATTTGTGAGTTTATACTTTTTTATATGGAGCTTTTAAAAACAAATAGTGCTTTCCAAACTGCTTCAATTCATACTTCCAATAAAATATACTACTGAAACCAAGGAAGTTGAATCCAAATGTAACTAAGCCGAAAAGTAACTAAGCACGCCAGAAAACTTGAATTTTCAATGGCGTCAACATTTACCTGGGAGTTCATGATTTCAGCAGAGAACTAATAATGGTACAGGAAGTTCGAAAAATTGAACACGACAAAGAAACTGGAGCCGAAGACCCGACAACGGGAACCCGAAACCAGAGTGCGGATAACACCCGAAACAACTCGTGCGCCGCTCAACACTCGCCCGAGAACATGCAACAAGATAATAAAGTCCACCAGAACTAAACTGCGACTCCTAACCCTCTTCAGGACTAGAAATAACATAACCCGGCTCTTTTCCAATTCCAATCCCGTTTCCACTTTTCAACAAAAAAATTGAAAATGTACTTCAGCGTTGTCATAATGCGGGGGGTGTTTAAAAGTGGCCGAAGTACAACAGTGCCGAAAAATGCGAGAAAATATCGGAGTAATTTAAACAAATTTTTCTAAAGAGCGGGAAATTACTGACGCTAATTAACAAATGCAAGACTGCTCGTATATCAGAGAAAACATTGAAAACGCTGTACACTTTGAACAATATTAAAGTGTAAAATTTTGAGTCGTACAAAATAAATACGAGCAATTAGCTAGCCTCGATTCAATTTGGAACAATTCTTTTGTGCGGGATAACTTGCCACGCATATATAGTTTGCGTCACCCTCTCGAATGAACTCTTCGGAGAGCGCGCATAATTTAGTCCTAGGAACATGGAAAATTTGACAATTTTCAAACCACCAGAACTTTACAAAAAAATATCGGAGGTAAAATATCTTTTTACGATTGAACTCAGGAAGTCGAAATCTTTAAATGGGTATAAAAAGTTTTTGTTGAAAACTATTATTTCGATCGGTGAAAATTGACTGAAAACCCACTTACACCGTTTTCTTCGAAAGAGAAAGTCGGAACAAAAATTACTCTAATTTTGGCGCCAAAATGTCTGCAACTGCAAATTAAACAAATATTTTGGCGCCAAACGTCTAATCTGCAAATTTTCTTGCTGAAAATCTGTAAGTGTCGCTTAAGATTGTAGCCTTTTACCGTTTAATTTTGATTGCCGCACTTATCATGTTGAAACTTTTTCAAATTTTTGGCACTATTGAACAAAGTTTTCATTTTCGGCATTGTTGTACTTCGGCACTGTCTTCTTCCCTTATTATACAAGTTGAGCAAAAACAAGTATGTTAAAAAAAACTTTGAGAAGAGAGTGTGTAGGGATTGGAAAAGAGCCCATAAATCCATGTATGCGTTTAAAAAAATAATTAATAGTTACATAATAGTTATATAAGTTGAAAAGTAAATTTTAGTTATCACCAAATTGTTGGCAATATCCTTTTCGGTCAAGGAATCTGAACGTTAAATAATCTAAAACTGCTCATTTTGAAGACGGATTTCAGTTTGCCAATGATTTCCTCGCATAAAACTGTTTACAAAAAAAAACTAGTTGACCTAAAATGATATAGTTTTTGACGGACTAAATTGCTCAAGGTCATCTATATTGCCAACATTTTGGCATTACTTAAATAAACTAGTAAAATACATACCTCTAAGAAACTGGTTTTAGCTACAAACAGTTTTTTTTGCTGTGTCAGAAAAATTGAAGCTCAAATGACGTTTCTTGCTTCACATAATCAAAGTTGCTTATTTTGTTTCACGCTTTTTAGTGTACGTTTATGTGTGTGTGCTTGCGTTTCATGGTTAAAAAAACATGACCATTTTGGTATTTTTATCCAAGAAAACGCCCAAAAAAGCCTTTTTGTGCTATAACCGCTCTCGCTCGGGAGCGGATTTGGGGGGGGGGGGGCGTAAGTGGCGGGAGCTTTTTCTTTTAAGAAAGAAAAAAGTCACTACTTCACCGCCCAAAAAGCAAAAAGTCCCCCTTTAGTATTGTTTTTGGGAAGTTCTCTTTTTTATCACTGATACTATCTTAAATTTTAGAAATCTCTAATCCCTATTCCTTCGTTTGAAGTTATCAATAGAACAATTAGAGCAGTTTGCATTAGGCACTGTTTTTCTACAACTGTCTGATGACTCGTGTTTTCCTTATCCTCTGCCTAGTTCTCTTGAAAGTAACTTGTTTATCACGTCTATTTTTCTCAGACATTTATTGAAGCACCATTCAAAGCCCATGTGCGATTTATTACATTTTTTAATGAAATCTACTCGAGCCTGATTTACACCGGTTTCTTATATTTTATACTTCTTAAAAGCTTATTAGGATGATCTTGTTAAATTGCTTAAGAAGCATAGATCTATAACGCCGCTTTTCAAGTCTCTTCTGCATGTTTATTCGACCTTGGATCAATGTTCGCTGAAAGGAAACTTGTCGCAAATTGCTTCCCAGAAGTTTTTACGATAACGGGTTGAAGGAGTCTCGTGTTTACTTGAAGGAGATAATGAAGCCCTTTTATACAAAATTGGGCCCTGTTATTGGTTCTCATTTTTCAGTGAGCGGCCTATGAGCCAAATTTACTAAAAGGATGAATGAGTCTAGCTTTTTATTAAAGGGAATTGAAATCTACCAAAAGATTTCCAATAACTGTTGCCTGTTTTTTTAACAAGACTGAACAATTTCAATTAGTTATGGTCTGAATGATTTTTTTTACAGAAAGAATATGAACAAAGCATAATTTTTACCAAATTATAAGTCATCATTATAGTGAAAATTTCTGTTGCCCGAAATAACGTAAGCTTTGATGGTATCCCACCCTCAAAGTTTATAGTTTGCGGTTACCAACTATCCTCAAGTGACTATTGTCTCTAGTGCAAAAAAAAATGCTCAAAGTTTCATTCTAAAAACATTCTAAATTTTGACTCCAAGTTAGGCTCCAATTTAATATGGAATGAGAATAATGAGCCTTTTATGACCACTGTGATCTCGTTTTTTGGCTACATTTTGTCATCAAAAGGAGCTGAATGAAACCATATTGTTCATCGGTTAGTACCCAAAATACCGTTCTAAAAGTGGACCCGTTGGTGCCCAATATTTAGGAATTTGGCCAAAAATGAGGCTCCATTGTGTCCAGTTTTGAGTGATAATTCGAAGACAAGCGATATACACTCAGCCCTTCCCATTAACCATTAAACCCGTTCCCATGAAAAAAAGACTATGTTTTGACCCGGGAAACGTAGCTTGTTATCCAGAAACTTTTTCATTATAACTTTTCATTATAATTTTTCATTATAACTAGCACTTTTTTTAAGTGGTTTCATATAAGAAAACAAAAAACAAACTAGGAAATACACAATTGCCGTTTCGTGCCCTAAAAATCTTTGAAAAATCATCAAGAGACTATCAGTCTGTAGAATTTGGAGACAATAGAAGCAAGGGGCTCTAAGTAAGAACATTGCAGACATCATTGTTTTTGATAAGTCGATAAATTTAGTCGAGCGGAGAAACTCGAGCGTCGCGATCAAAGTTCTGTATTTGGAGACTTTGAAAACCAACGAACTGCGTCCGAAGTTGGCGCGACCAAGCAAGGCTAACCTCGACCGGTGCAACAAAGAAAATTTAACAGAGACTGGTCGTATCACGAAATTGTTTTATACAATAGCGTGGCTATTTTTATGACTCTGTCACGACAATCGTTTCAAACTATGTTACGGTTAACTTCCAGGCCGAAGCAAATTAGCGCCGACGACTGATACTGCGCGATAGTAACAGCTAGAAATGAGTAGAGTAACCCGTAGACTTCTTACGAATGTTGGGTGAAAATCACTTGATTTCTGATATTCAAGTTACGCAAGAAATTTTGGGCTTCATTTTTTCATCCTCTCATAGAAACAAAAAAAGGTGTGAAAAAAGCGTGAAGGAAAGAAAACGGTTGCAAAAAGTATGAGTGGTGTGCAACCTTGTCCAAAAAAACGTGGCTTTCATGTCGAGCCTGGCCGATATAGCAGACAGACAGTTATCATGATCGTTAATGAGTTGAATGGCGAGCCAGTTCGATTACTCTTTTTCTTGAACAATCTATAGACATCATCGTTAAATGATTCCAAATGCTGTATCCGTCAGTGGATTTATTTTTGCAAATCTGGAGTTTTTATGAGCATGTCAGTGCCAATTAATAATAACCCTCATTAAATTTTCATGGAGAATAATCGGTTGTAATTCAATTTCGTGGGCAAGAATGTTGCCATTATAGTCGATTCTAAATATATTTTGGGACCTCACAATACATTTGATCCATTATTTTCAAAAAAATTAAATTGATTGTCATCCATTTAAAATCCATCATAATGGAATTTAATGAATAGAAATATGAAACAATTCCAAATTTTCTGCAAACTTTCATGTTATTTTTTTTATCGCTGGATGAAAAATTCTCGAAAATCTTACAAAAACCGTCTGAAGCTGTCTCATGTTTACCTAAAGGAGATGAATGAGAACTTTTCTACAATACTTGTCCCTGTTAATGCTCTTTATTTTTAGCAAGGGGTCTGTAAGTCAAACTTTTTCAGGAAATCGATGAATCTAGTTTATACTAAAGGGCAAGTTGAAAGAGCCCAAAATCTACCAAAAATTTTTCCCCATTTTTGTAACAGGACTGAACAACTCCAGTTAGTTATAGGCTGAATATTTTTTTTGTAACAATATGAACCAGCCTAGTTTGTTATAACTTGAGTCAGTATTTCAGTTATCCATTTTTTGTGCATTTCAAGTGATTATTTGCAGTGATGCATGTCCAGAAAAGAAATAATTCGTCAGCATATTGAAAACTTTTTCGCCCGAAATAACGTAAGTTTTGATGGGATCCCATCCTCAGAGCTTATAGTTTGCGTTTACCAGCTATCCTCGAGAGACTATTGTCTCTAGTGCAAACATACTCCGCTTAAGTTTCAAACGAAACATTTCTTAAAAAATTATCTAAATTTTTACCCCAAAATTAGGCTTCAATTGGACATGAAAAAAACTATAAACACTTTTTATGCTAAGTTGTTCTCGCTCCTTTCTTGGCTCCATTCTGTCATCAAGAGGAGCTGAATTAGAGCTTTATTACCTCTGTTATTCCGCAAGAAACTAATATAAAAGTGAACCCAACGGAGCCCAGTTTTGAGCCTAAATTTTATAATTTCGGCCCAAAATGACATTCTATTAGGTCCAAAACTTGCGTGATAACCCCTTCCCGTTAACCATTCAACCCCTTCCCCTGAAAAAAGGAGTTTTTTACCCCAGAAACGTAGCTTTTTATCCAGAAATAGAGTTCTGCATTATAACAAACACTTTTTTTTAA